AAATATCTATTTCAGAGGCTTTTAACTTTCAAAATTACTCTTTTTCATATGTTAACACCTTTGTCTTTGGCAAAAGTAAATATAGGTATGTGGAAATGTAGTGCTTCCTGGTGAAGCTGAATGTTGGTTATAACAACTGATGTTAGGAGATAATTGGGGACTGACGGGCAAGGGACTGAAAACTTTGTGACTTACTTTCACAATGTCACAACCCTTGTAGTCTGTAAATTGTGTCTATTTTGCTCATCCCTTATTGCTGGCTTATCGACTATCATGAATTCCAGGCCATCTTTTGGGAAATCTTAAAATACATATTCATGTTCAACACATAACTCTTTCTTAGTTCTGTTTATTATATGGGAGTCTATTTTATTCCCACTGCCTGGTAGAAAATAAAAAGGTCCAGCTCCGTCTCAGTACTCAATATTGTGAAGAACAGTGACTGTTTAGTTGTGACCTGAAGATGAAGAGCAGTGAAGAAATATTAAGCATTATTATTACGGATTGTCAATGCCTGCTTTTCTCCTCAATGACACATTTAACATTTACAGTGTCATAGTTGTTTTCTCCAAGCCATTTGGCCCGAGTTAAGGAAAAGGCTGTATTTTTGTTGACAAATTAAACCAAAATGCTGTGAATTTTTATTTTTAGCAGCAACAAAAATTATGCTTAGATTAAATGCATAGTACCTAGCATTCAGTTTGCAAATTCTATGGGATAGTTATCCTAGAGCTAATATATGACTGTTGAGTTGATAAAATGAATGTTGAAAAATGAATCAATGTACTTGATTCTCATGTTGAATTAACTTGTAGCAAGGAGGGCCAGTGATGATGGGCATTTCATGTGAATAGGGAGCACTTCGAAGGTCACCGATCTGCTTTTCCTCTGCAGGAACTGCCTTGCCTTGCTGAGGGTTTGGTATACCAGTTATACACTATTGTATCCTTCTCTGTGGAAGAAAACACCATTAGGACTGCTAAACTAAGAAAAATGATGGAAGTTGAATCCATGACTAGGCAAAACCATGGTTTTACATGAAGGTAGTTTTCTAGTATTAGCAGGAGCTTTACTTAAATCTTACACTGAATGGTTTCTTGTTCAGCAAGTACAATGCTAATTACCACTCCGATCCTTTCTTTGTCAAATAAGCTATTTTGTTTGTTCAATGAATTTTAAAGCTTGTTGCCAATTTTTTATTTTTACATTGCTTCTAACATTTCTTTCAAACATAGTCTGTGTTAGTAGCACCATCTGACTGAATGAAGGACAGATAATGTGCAGTTTTGAACGTATGTCAATATGCCAGATAAGATTCTGCTCTCTTAATGATGTTCAGTATAAGGGAACTTAGTGGTTCTGGCAAATGAAATGTGAATGGTATAATGTTCCCTGAAATTCCAGAGTCATACTTTTCAAGAATTTTGTGAATTTAAAACACTTTAAAGAAATATTCTGGGTTCACAATAGTAGAGAACTAAAGCTTTTTTCCTCAAAAAAAAGCAAAACAAAACAAAACAAAAAAAACATTGGCTACTGTTATATGTCAGCATTTGCCAATGGTTTCCGGAGGAGATGCCAGTTTGGAGTGGAAACTAAGAAATGGATTGAGCGAAGCACTTTATCCTGTTCTTGGCTTAAAGCACATGAATAATCCCATTGACTACCCACGTGTGCTTTACTGGGACTGCTCACATAGTGAAAGCTAGGCACGTGTTTAAATAACTTGCTTATTTGGGGTTTCACTGCATGATGTCTCCTGGCAGACTCTTGGTTTTCTTATGGCAGCCATCATATGACCTGCATGCAGGGAGTGCAGCATTGTCTGCACCAGCCACGCAGTCCGTAGCATAAGGATATTTCTGTGTCCACCCCCAGCCGGCCCTGCACTTCTCTGGCAACCAGTTACTTATCTGCTGCCAATTGTGCTCTAGAGTTTTTGGCACTCAACCACTCCAAATTGCTGCTCATGCAACTATTGAATTGCCTTTGGAAGGTGGAGAGTTGTCTTTTTCTTGTTTAAGACAGTATATGTGGTTGTTAAAACATAAAAAAATGGATTGTCATCATAGCTTTCTGCATTTTGGTCAAAGTGTGGTCTGTATAACATTGTCAGTAGTCCCACTAAAGTTGATAGAGATGCCAGCAGAGGAGAGGAATTGTACTGGAGGACCAGCTCAATATTCAGGGCCCAAATAGAGCGTTTTCATCTCTTGAATATTTAATGGAAGCAGTGTTCTTTATTTGAGAACTTCTGTGTACAGTTCACCAATGGAAATTGAGCCTTTTCAGAATGTGGAGAGGGAGAAATTAAATGCTGGGATAGAATCTTTTTCAGTTGGATGTTTCCTAACCATTAACTCTGTTTTGATCCAATATCCCACTTGCAAAATAGTGCAACTGTAGTTCAAACATACATTTTGGTGAGTTTACCACCTCCACCTTTTTGTGCACGCTGCTGAGGATGCCACGGTTTCCCTGTGCTCAGTGTGGAGCTGTGGCTCCCCAGAGGGCTGGTCCCAGGCAAAGGTTACCGTGCCCTGCATAGTTGGTCTCCAGTGCACACTTCTTACTTGTTTTCTCCAGAAAGATAATCTCCTCAGCATGGCAGCAGATCTACAGCCTGTATATAAGAGCCAGACATGCTGTTGGAGGGAGCTGCATTTGCAGCAGACAGCAGTTCATTGATGGGTCCAGCAGGCCCGGCGCTGTGGTTGGTCATCAGCAGGTAATCAACCCTGGATCTCAGGCTCTGAGCTTGCTTTGTGTGTGCTGGGGCTGGCAAGCCGTTGTTTGGCCTTTGCTAACAGCTTCAGCAGAGAAGCCTAGGAAACTCCAAAAAAAAGTTGCTAATGGAAACTGAAAAGTGAAATGAAATAGGTTTTCTCTGTGAGCTCAATAATCCTGGCTGGCAAAGTGCACTGTTATCTTCAGAAACATGTGTCAAAGAACATTCTTCAATGCATAATCATTTTAAACAGAGCCCTTTTTTGCTTGAGATGTGTTTGGGCGAGTGAATGGGGATAACATGTAATACGAGCCAGATGCAAAATAGTATGGCTGGATTTTCACTGGAAGCTTGAATGCTTGTGTAAACTGCACAGGGCCCTGAAGTCATTGTAACAGGCTGTAACTACATGCGTGAGGTAGGAAAGCAAGATTATTTTCACAGGCTGTTAGTGTTCATACCTTGAATATGCTTACAAGAGTGTTGAAAATGCTGTTGATCCAGGATCATAACAATTATTAGATCCAAACACCGATGAGGTTAGATTTAAACTGTTTCAGAAGCATATTGTTTTAACAGGCTGTCAGTTAGCTAATAAGTGTTTATGGATTATGTAGGAGGTATATTTCCAAAAAAATCTCATTAATTCTGAGTGGAAAACTCAAATCTGCAAAAATCTGTATGAAAGCATTGTAAAATCCAAATAGTCAGATTTGTGCCCTGTGTACAAATAAAATATTTAGTAAGCATTCTCCTCACCTAAAGCACTGATTTGAAAAGCAAGGACCCGAGTTTCAAGCTCTGATACAACTTTTTTGTATGGTTCTGGGAAATCGCTTAGCATCTCTCTTTCTACAAACCAGAACCCATACTGTTCCTCTGCCTGGCAGAGGTGAAGGGGAGGCAAAGGAAAGGAGTGATTGCAAAACAATTTAAGAATCTCCTAACAATACTCAGAGCATACATTTTGGTTTTGATAAATGTAATTTGGAGTCATTGCACATCTAATAACTGCTGATATGTAAGAGTCAAATTATGAAGCTTCAACAAAAACACATTTTTTTAGACAGAGCTGTGGTGTATTTCTAGCTGGAATCTGTCATTGATTTGTTTCCTATCTGCATGTTTTACTCCTTAGGTACGCTGCAGCAAGTGAACAAGTTCAGTTTCTCAAATCAAAGGCAATTTAAAGATGCATCCAAATAGAATATCCTGCTTTGAAAGGGACTCACAGGGATCGTCATGTCCAACTTCTGGATCATGGAGATCCACCCAAAAAAAAATCGAACACTGTGTCTGAGAGCATTGTCCAAACTTCCTGAACTCTGGCAGCGTGAGACCATGGCTGCTGCCCAATCTGACCATCCCCTGATGCACTTCTGTGCTGTTCCTTTGGGCCTTATTGCTGGTCACGAGGAAGAAGTGCAAACACCTTTGTACCACACAGTACAAAGATTTGAAGCTAGACTATTTTATTAAAATGTTGCAAAACTTCTCTGATGCTTCTGATTCCACCAAATTGATTTAGAAATCTTTCATGGACTGACCTTCACTCATGTAATTGCTGAGAAGCTTTTCATTCAACAATGTTAATGTTCACTTTATATAGTTTGTCTTTCAAGTCTGGTGTTTTTTTGTTTGTTATGACAAATGGCAAGTTTTTGGTGACATCTGTTAGTTGTGTATGAGTAGAGGCATTTGCAGTGGAAACTAGGGGAACAATTGCTTACAAAGATATTTTAAATTGCATAGACTAAAGGAAAACCAATGAGGCACTAAGCTTGATGAGAGTGATACTTCTATTTACATCAATTGGATGAGGTTAAAGTACAGAGGAAAGAAAATGAGAAAGGATTAAACTTGTTCTTTGATCTTCTCTTTTTCCCTCCGTATTGTCATTAATAGTGGGACTGGGTGTATGAGCAATTTTTATAAAGTGCCTGGGAGTGATTAGAGGTTGAATTTAGACCCTTTTTGGGACATATATGGATGCTAATGATAATTAGGCAAATTTGGAAATGTTTTCTCAGTTCAAAGATCATCTAATATTGTGTGTATATCTTTTTAATTTAAAAATACTCTCCACGCTGCTAATAGTAATAATGGACAGCTTTCCTTAGTTTCTTTTTTTAAGTTATGAAACTTCTTAACTCTCCCCATGGAAACTTGCAAGCCACTGAATATTAAATTAAATGCATAGACTGGTTCAACTATTAACTCTCATTTTTCTGCACGAGAACTTGAGATAATTGCTTTTTCTTTTTCTGCTCAGCACTTTCAGACCATGTTAAAGACCAAGCTGAATGTCCTAACTCTTCGGAAAGAGCCTCTCCCGACAGTGATCTTCCATGAACCAGAAGCCATCGAGCTGTGCACCACAACACCCCTCATGAAGACCCGGGCTCACACTGGATGCAAGGTACTTGGGAGTAAAAATTTAAGGAATGAGACCACTGTGAAGTTGTTCCATGTGTATAAGAGGAATAGAAAGAGCCCTGTGCAACCAACATGGTCTTTGTTCTGGAAGCCCCATTAATGATCACTGTTTGGGTTAATTACCACAGGTTTGTACATAGAAAAAAGATCTTGGTGGGGAGGTGTTTTGAGCAGAAATTCAGGGCTTCTGTTTAAAAAAAAAAAAAAAAAAGTTGAGCACACTGTGGCACACAATGTGGCACAATTATGGAGAATTTCTGACATCCCCTGGGGAACATCATTCCTTGTAAACACAGTAATTGCTTTCTGCAAGTTATGGCATTGATATAGGAAATAAAGGGCCAAGTGTTGCATATTTGTGTATAAAAGGCTCTACTATCAGTATAGGTATAAACTTACTCAAACAGAGTCGCAGGTTAAAAAAGGTTGACTATATAAATAAAGGGTGTGTGGAGGGAGGTAGTGGTGATGGGGGGAAGTTAGACCTCGATTCAGTTAAGCAATAGGATGAAATTGTCCACTTACATCAAAGCATGGCTTCTGAAGAAGCTCTGCTTCTTTAAAGTTTAACAGCTTAAGAGCTCTCAGTGCTTTCTTCTGTGGAAAAAATCCATATGAAAGTAGCAAACAAATCTACTCCATGTGCATCTTTCACTGGAACTGACTCTCTTGATGGCAGACCTTGCCTCACCTTGCAGAGACACAAGCAGCCTGAGCCAGGTCCCAGCTAGGCCTGTGCTGTTGTTCAGGGTTTGGCAGCCAAACTGGCTTTGCCTGTCTCAATTGTTGGTTGTGTGGGGAATCTAAATGCTCTTGGGGGTCCCCAAAAATAGAGCATAAGCCTCCTTTGCTCTGTAAAGCATTAGCTGTGGAAGAGCTTTTTCCTGATTCTATACGTGCTGGATAAGGCCAGTGTGCATAATCACCTGTCACGTGTGTGCGCGCATATCCACATGCATCTCTCCTAAGCAGTCTTCTTGTTGGGAGATCTGATGGGATCAGATGAGGTTGGAAAAGGCTGCTCCCCAGTGAGATCTGCAGCTTCTCGTTGCACGCAATGGCTATGGCTTGAGCTGTCGGTATGCTCTGAAGGGCTGTGCTGTGGCACCTCCAGGTCTGGCGCTCCTTAGCAAAGATTCCTGTTGTGAAGTGTCGTTTTTATTTGACGTTTTCCCTGCTAAAATAGCTAAGAAATGAGACCATTGCTAGATATTGAAGCAGTACTGCCCTTTGCTGATGCAGTGGAACACAGGTCAAGTGATTCTAATATACTTTGTATGATAGGTAACTCGTAGCATCTGCTCTTCCTTGGTGATGCCTTTTGTCCTTTATGTTGACATCTAATGAATTTTTAGAGAATATTAGCTATCATAAAACCGTTTCACAAAGTATCTGGCTTTCACCCCTACTGAGAGAGAGTTCAGACATAATAATGCTTTCTGAAATCAGTTTACCTCTGTGAATGTGTGCAGAATTTAGATGAGCCTTTTTATTTATCCTTCAACTAAAAGGCGGATTGCGGAGAGGTGTTGAACCCCTCAGTGAGGAAAGTCTCATTCTATATATAGGGATATTTTTAATGTATTCATTTATTTTTCCTTCAGTATGACATAGTAGTGATGACTAGGGGACATCTGCTACCACAATGCTCCCCTTTTCCTGTCTGTATGGTTTCTCCTTCTCCTCTTCCCCTGAAGCCAATGCACTTCTGTCTATGCCAGAGCCTTACCAAGTGGTTATGGGGACATGGCCAGCCTCCCTTCAGACAATTCAACAGTTGTCATTTCCAGTACTTTCTCTGGGTAAATGATTCTGCATGTATGTCATTCCTATGGCTAAGAAATCCCCTGTAGTTGTTAACTAAGTATGCCAATTTTACCTAGTCTCTCTAGCCACAATCTTCTTCATTTTTTTCCTTTTTCTTCTCACTGACTAAATGTATTCTTCTCTAAGGGAACTTTCACCTTCCAGCTGTTTCTAGATAATTAGCCTTTCTCTCCTCTTTCACCTCTGATTATTAGTTCCTTGCTGAGTGATGCGATAATGGTGTTGCCATAACAAAGCTGACATTTTATAGTTCAAGTTTTCGCTCTGTAGGATCTGATCCATCATTGTTATTCCATACATAAGTGGGGAAGATGGTGGGGTGTCCCTGGTACGGTCAAGCCTTCATGACTTGGAGACCTGGGCTTTTCAGGCAAGAGAAACAGTATCCAGTATCCAGTATCCAAGACTATGATTCTTTCATGAATCATAGTCTTTTGATCCTTAATCATTTTATTCCTCTTGACTGAAGTTCCTCCAATTTTTCTATGTAATCGCATTAATGAGATAGCATCATTCTTCTGACAGAAGCTCCAGACATCTCATTTTATTGCGCTGCTTAAACATAAGCCTCAGCTGGCACCATCATGTTGTGGGAACTTGACACATGCAATTGCTTTGCAGTTCAGAGGTCTGGACATTGGTTTTCTTATGCAATTGCTCTTTTCCTTGTCCTTTCACCACAAGGCAAGTTTTCTTTTCTGTTTCATTCAGTGTTAGCTTCTGAATCCCAAAGAAACAAAACTTTTTTACTGAGATCCAATCTTATTCTGTAATTGAATGTGAAGGCTTTAAGAATAGCAGAGAAATAGCTTGCTTTAACTAATCCACGTGGAATGCCCACATAATCTGTAAAGTTAAATAACTGAAGAAATTCATAGAGTCTGCTTCTCTTTCATCCACATTTCCAATTCTGATGCAATTTCACTGCCATTGTGTTTCCTGAAATATTTTTTTTTTCTTAGAGCAGAAGGCTTCAGGCTTGCTCCTCCTGTCACTGCACATCCACACCTGCCTGTCTGGGCTGGCAGCACTATCACTGTTCCCACCCCACCAGACTCATTGGCACAATTTCACCAAACAGAAGAGAGAAGATACTGCTTGCATTGATTTGCAGTGCATGGCTATAGGCACACATGTTTCAGAGCTTGTTGTTCTGGTTGATGTTCAGACAGCAGTTGACTTGAAGGCTGCTGTTCCCAGGGGACATCTTCTTTCTCTCCTTACCACACCAGTTGTGTCTGCAAATGGGGAGTGACAGCCCTACACTCATCAATTGCAACACTTCAGCCCCACTCAGCAGACAGCCTAAAACCAAGCAGGATTTCTGGGTTCAATAAAGCACTTAGACCCTTGTAGGAGGGTTGTCTGCTTTTGTTAGAGCCATGGTATATGTTAGGTGAGAAGCAGGTCTTGTGTCCTGGAGGAGCTGCAGCCAAGCCCCTGTATTCTGCCTGTCTCTTCCCTGCAATGGACATGGGGTTTGTGGCTACTGGAGCACCAAGCATCATGGGTGGGAGCTGGTCTGAAGAATGAAAAATCCAAACTGGCTTATTGTAAACTTGTAAGTAGCAAGTCTCAGCTTAAGCTAAACCACCTTGTGCTGCAGAAGAACAAAAAGCAGTAGGGACGTCTTTTATTCTTCCCAGCTGGGGCACTTTTTCAATCACAGGCTCCAAATTTGCTCTTATTTTAAAATGTTTGTGTATACAGACGTGAATACTGGTTTGATGCTTATGAATATGTGTCTGTCCTTGTTTAGATTCTAAGAATTTTGACTTGACTGTGATTGTCCAACTTGTAGATCTTTCGTGTCAAACGTGATACACTCTTGTGCTGCAGCTGGAAACTTCCTCTTGCCTTATTGCAGCATTAAGTACCTCCAGATGGAAACTGAAAATCTGGAACACCTCCAGAAAATAAGCCACTCTTTGCTCAGAAATGTGTTCTTTCTCTGTGCCTTTTAACAGATTTTGTTTAAGTTGTGTGTGTTGTACTCTTCTTTAATGTCGCATCGGCTTACACTGATTCTAATGTTTCTTGATTTCTGTCCCTTTCAGCAATGGTAGTGGTGTGAAGGGAACTGCCTCAATGACTCCTCCTCTACTGCTGTAGCTTTTCCAGGCACTGCTGCATTAATGCAAAAGGACAGAGGTTAAAAACGTTGCCTCTGATTTTTGAAGTGGTGTCATAGTTGGGTTTTTTTTTCTAATATTAGAAGGCTCTTCAAAGTGAAATCAGTACTGAATAATCAGTAGCTAGCTGTAACCCACCTGGATTTTATTCCTGCGGTTTCCACCAGTAGATAAGCTTTTCTCAGCAGATGAGAGGCTGACATGAGAAACACAAACAATGCAAATTACATTCTTAAGAAGGTGTTTTATTAAGTGACCAACTGTCTATTCATGATGTGGTGTCTGCAGACATGAGGCTCATTGGTTGCCTGCCTTATTGGATGTGGTTGGAAAGGCTGTTGATCCAGGCTTTGAGGAAGGGATGGTGTATATCTTAGGTTAAGACTGTCTAAAGTCTCGTTAGAGTGATATTGGTGTTTTAAAATCAAATCTTGCAGCTATTGACAGAGTTGGGTTTTTGTTGTTTTTTTTTTTTAATGTAAGTATTACTAGAAAAAAATTGAGTTTGGTCTTTGGGAATAGCTTAATCTTTTTGCTCATGAGGCGAAAGAAAAAATGGTTCCTGTGCCCTGTGCTGAGCTTTCTACGGGCTGGTGACTACAGTGGGTTTTATCTGTGCCTCTGCAGCAGGAAGGGGCTGCAGCCTGGGCTGGGTTCCCTGCAGCAGCTGGGGCCAGCAGCTAGCACCAGGGAGCGTCCTGCAGAGTTCCTGGCTGCCATCCTCCCTGCCTGGCTGTCCCTCGTGGGCAGATTTCACTTCCCTTTTGTCTCTCTGCCTTTCTCCCGTTTTTGTTCTTGTCCCTGAAGAAACTTTCACTGTTGGAGACGCTGCGGGCCCTACTAATAAATCTCTCTGCATGTTAAACTCCCTCAGCATGCGCTGAGCAATAGGATTTACACCACAGTAGCAGGGAGTAGTCTGGCAAGCAGTCTGTGAAGTAAAAATTCATAATGTAGGATGAATAGCAAGCAATATTGATAGCAATCTGATTATATTCCATAAAAATACAGCATTTCTCATTGG